CAGCTGGTGTCTACCGCTAACGCCCCGGACGGCGAAGGGTGCGCGGGGGAGGGTGGTGGCCCCTCAGTCGCCCGCGCGCCCTCCGGGCCCGGTGCGCTTTCGGGCGCGAGCGGGCGCGTCCCCGCCGCCGAGAGCCCGGCTGGTGTGCATGCAAAGAGGGGCCTTTGTCAGCGCCCAGCGCCCCACCGTGCGGACCCTAAACCCCGCCCTCGCCTCCTCGGGCTCCCCAGCCCTCTCGCCCCCGACCCTCCCCCCGGACCCCCCAGCCTCCTCGGCCGCCCCCCGGCCCCGCCTCCCTTCTCCCTCATTAGCATAGCAGCTGCTCGACGAGCGGGGACCGCGCGGGGGAAAGGGCAGAGGCCCCGGGAATGAATGGGGGCCGCGGCTTTGGAGGGGCAGGAGAAGAAAGACCGACAGACGGACGCGGAGGGACGGACAGCCAAGCAGAAGAATGTGCCAGACAGGGACGGGGCGGGCTGGGCTGGATCCCCGCAGGTGGAGGCCTGCGGCCCCGAAACCCCCAAAGCCCGAGTGAGGGGTGGGGGCTGCGCTGGGGGCCAGCACTCCCTCGTGCCTGCGCCCTCCCGTTCCAGCCGCTGGCTCTGTTCACCAGGCCTCCTTTCTGGCCCGACAAGGCTCAGGTGGGCCCTGCCTCCTACCCCAGGCTGCACGTGGCTGCAGGAGGCAGCTGTTTCCCTGGCCAGCCCTTCCTGTAAGGAAGGCCGTTGGGGACAGCCCCCTCCCTCCCTTCCCTTATCTCCCTGGCCCCTAGATCCTGCCCTCCTCCCCCACCCCTCCACACGAAGCTGTGTATAGCACTGGTTCTAGCTGCCATCTCCCTGCTCTTCCTGGTCTCTTGGGGCATCCCTTCCATTGGCCTGAGCCCTTCTGGCTACCACAGGGCATGGGGGCAGACCGTGGGGTGGGCCATACCCTGGCTCGTTTGGTCTGCCCCTTCTGTCCGCGGCAGCCATTCAGGGGCCCCGCCCCGCCCACCACCCCTCTGCTGAGTTACCTCGGTGCTACCCCCACCCTGGGCTGAGAACCTCAACCGGGGTCCAGGAGCCTGGCTGTGTCCCCTGCCCCCTCCCCCACCTGCAGACAGATCTGGGGTAGTCAGAGCAGAGGCCCGCTGAGGGGGTGCTCACAGGCTGGGGGGGCTCAGAGGCTCAAGCAGGGTCGGGACTGTGGTGAGGGTTGGCTGGCCACAAAGAGGCTTCCACACCTGAAGGCCTGTGGGAGCTGGGGGTCCCTGCAGACATCGTTGGCTCCCAATTCCTGCCTGTTGAGCACAGTGGAATGACCTGTGGAGGCTGCTGCTCCCAGGAGGTGGAAGGCAGTCACTGGAGGTCCCCTGGGGCATGGCCTGTCCCCTGGGCCTAGAGAAGTAGGGCCTTCCCCTCCTCTCCCCCTGCCAGGGGACCAGGGCTCCACACAGCCGCAGCTGGGGCCATGCCGGACGCCCAGCTCCCTCTCAGGCTCCCTCCTGGGACCAGGCTGGGCTGGACTTGGTGTCCGGCCTGCCCTTTGCAGGCTGGGGTATACAGCCCATGGGCTTGGGCCCCAGGATGGAAGAACATGAGCATGTCTGGTGGTGAGCATGCCTGTCCCTGATGAGAGGCTGCAAGGAGGCCATCACATTCCCCCATCATATCCTGGGGTCCTGTACCTCAGCCAGGAAGCGGGGGGCAGCCGGTCAACCCCCACTCGGGCTGCAGCCTGGGGCCGGCTGCCTTCCTCTCTCCCAGGCCCCAGGGGGGCTGTTCTGCCACTAGCAGCACCAACCCTTTCTCAGCCCCAGGGATGCAGTCTCCCAGGCCCAGGCTGGGGGGGCAGCATGTGCTGGGGGCAGCCTGGGGCAGCTCTGCTGCCCAGCGTCTCTCCATGGAGGTGGCACTTCCAGGGCGTAAGGGAGATGGGCCCCCACTCATGCATGGGCTGATCCCAGGAAGGAACGGGGCCTTGACATCTCAGGGCTGCTGCACCTGCAGGAGCACGCTGGGGGGGCAGTGGGGGCGGCACTGTCTGGCTCACCCAACACATAGTTCCTGCAGCAGCTTGTGCTCCTCCGTGGGATGCCCCGTGCCTCAGGGAGGGGCCCACAGATGCCCGCCCCAGGCACTCTTTCCTATCAAACAAGCACCCCACTGTGCTGGGGATACAAGAGCCCTGGACTTGGACAGCAAATGTTTGACCCGGTGAAAGAGCACCTGCGAAACTTGGGGACAGAGCAGGGCTGTGGAGCAGTAACTGGAACGCGTGCCGAGTGTCAGGATGGCAAGCTGACCCTGTGACAGGGAGGGTGACGTTCTTGGCCACTCTGGGGAGGGGTCACAGAGTGTTGTGAGGACATTGTCACTACCTTGTAACTCACAAGTAACCTTGGTTTGCTGCTCCCCAATCTCCTCTTTGCAGCTACTGTGGCTGGGAGGGGGAGTTGCCCCCTGCTCACCCCATGCTGGGCCCCTGGTCCTGGCAGGCCAAGAGTCCCACTCCCCTGATATTCTCAGAAAACAGACCCCCTGGCCCCACTCTGTCCCTACCTCTAGGGCAAGGCCTTGCCCAGCCCAGTGCTCCCGGGTGGGCGTCTGACCTCACTCGGGCTGTGCCCGCTTTTCTGCTCCCAGTTGCATCTGTGGTGGGAGCTGCCTGAGGAAACTTCTCCTGGTTCAGGGTGATCAACAAAGTGGTGCCCCACTGACGGCTGCTGTGCGGCAGCCTGGAGCCAGGAGGGGCTGTGGGGTGGGAGAGCCCTTTCCACAGGGAGCTGCGGGGCCCTGGGCAGCAAGCAGAGGAAAGGGCCCAGCGGCTGCTGGGGGCGCTCTCCCTGGTCCCTGCGGGTGGAGTCAGGCCAGCCTGGGCCTCATACTCTGGTCAGGGTGCAGGCCAGGCTGCCCTGGACTTGAATCGTACTGCGTGGGACGCTGTAGTGTTCACCAGCATGCGGCCGGCCCTCCTCCCTGGCCAAGAACAAGCAACAAACTTTGCTTTTAATATAAAAAGGTCAATGAAAAATTTATTTTAAATTTTTCACGCTGGGCTACCAGTCTATCGTACACTCGGGAGCGTGCTGTGGGCCTTATCCAGGGAGTGGTGACCAGACTGGACACACACGGCTCGGCGATAAGCCCCACATTTTCCACATTAATTAACATCATTGAAAAGGTGTTCGAATTTAGAAAAAACAGAGAAAAGCTCCCTGCAGACCGCTCTGCGCCCGGGTTTCACTGTCTGCGACCCAAGTAGTGGTCATCGCCTCCCCACACAGAGCTGAACAGACGCCGAGGGGGCTGTGTGACCAGCCACGCACAAAGGCCCCATCCACCTGTGTCCTCTCAGCTCCCCATTTCGGCATGAAGGGTCAGCAGCACTGCAGGGAAGGGGAGACCTCATTTAAATTTGAATCGTTCCGCCTGCCTTTTATTTCCCGGGATCCAAACAACAAGGCTGTGGGGTTGCATAGAAAATTGGAACCGCGGCGACCGGGAAGGGCGCCTTTCGGGACAGACAGTGACGCGCAGACACCTCCTCGCCCTGGGCCTCGGCGCAGCCCCCCTCCCGCCAGCCCCTCCCCCACACAGGGCTTTCAGATTCCAATCGGGTCCTGGGAGCTTCGGCGGCTGGAGGGCCAGTCGGTCTTTAAACTCTTGCTCAGCAATTCGCACGTGAGCTTCACAGTCTTATAGGCATTTTATAAAAATATAAATATAGCCACACTGTTGCCTTCACAACGTGGACACAACGCCCCTTGACCTGGGTCTAGAACCAAGACTCCAAACATGCACCCAGAGCCTGGCTTCACACATGTTCCTGTTTTATATTGTCATAAATGTTATGACATTTAATTGTGGCAAATCCATTTACTTTTTAAAAAAGCGTGCAACCGACTGTTGCCTGGAATGGAGCCCGCGACAGCAGTTACTGGCCCCCATCCCGCCACCCTCGAGGCGCTCGTGGAAACTGAGGCAACCAGGTTCCGGAGGGTGGCCGCCCGCAGGAGGGACTCCGAGTGGGGGCCTGGCGCTTCCCAAACCCACACGGAGTAGCTTCAGGAGGAGGGAGAAAGGAGGCGGGCCGAGCGGGGAGGAGGCGGGGAGAGGGGGCCGAGGGGG